ATTCCAACACTAGTTAGCCATGAAGGTCTGGAGGTCTGCACAGACAGACAGGAAGTGATGTAGCTGGGTGGAGAGAGGAAATGAGATGGCAGAACAGAAAGGCATAGGCATGGGTATACAGAAAGTAGGTGTCTTTGGAGACAGAGGGCTGGTAAGGTGAAGCTGGCTGTGGTTTTTCCTATTTCTCTTATCTCTCAACATTCAACCCAATATCTGGCTTCAGGGTTTTTTTTTTATTATTATTATTATTAATAAGACCATTTAGCAATTCTTCTTACAGTAAAATTAGTAATAACTGCCAAATAACCCAACACTACCAGAAGCAGAACAGCAACAAAAATGGTAAGGGACAGCATGATCCAAAACCAAACCAAACCAATGATAGAAACAACCAGAAGTTCTGCAGTCAACAGAAGAAACAACAATAAACCAGAAAGGCAATTATAGAGTGTCCAAATTGAATGTGTATAGATTACATAGATCAAAATTTATAATATAAACTCTTATTTTAAAAGAGAAGGGTTAAAAATTAATGACCGTTTGGAAAGATGGCTGAAGAGGACTGAGAAAAGGAGTGTTTTGGAGTGTAAGGCATCTTGATTGTGGCAAGATGTGCTAAAATCCATCAACTTACATGCAAAAAATCAGTTCATTTCACACTATGCTAATGTAAGAAATAAAACAAAAAATAAAATAAAAAATTATCTTACAAAGTCAATGCTATAGGGCTCAGGAGACAGCTCAAAGGTGGAAGTGCTTGCAGTCGAAGTGTGAGATCTGGAGTTTGGCTCCCCAGGTCCATAAAAAGCTAGGTGCAGCAGGGCCCATCTGTAATCTAGTGTTCCTAGGACAAAACGGGAGCCAAGACAGGAGAAACCATGGAAGCTTGCAGACCAGTCTGTCTGGCATATGTAGCAGTGAACAAAAGACCCTGTTTCAAACAAGGTGGAAGGTGAGTGTATCTCACACACATACCCCAATAATCTAAGCTTCTATTTTAAGAAGTCATAGAAGAAAGAGAAATTAAATGTGCAGGAAGCAGCAGAATGTATGAAATAAATTTAATCAGAAATCAGTGAAACAGGAAAACCATCTAGAATATCAGTAAAGTTGATAATCCTCTAGCCAAAGTGGTCAGAAAAACAGATGATGCCCAAATTCTCAATACCACAGACTAGAGGGGGCCACAGACTGAGACCCAACAGACAATGCAGATGACAGAGGAGAGCTACCCACAAATTTATAATCGTAAAGTTTACAGTTTAGATGGAATGACAAGTTCCTTGAAAGATACAAACCACCAAAACTCACTTCAAAGAAAAGAGATAATCTACCATCTCTCACAGAGAAATTTGGTGGTTAAATTTGTCCTTCAGCGGGTGTGGTGGAGCACACCTGTAATCCTAACACTTGGAAGGCTAAGGAGAAGGGTTGCAAGTAGCTAGCTTAGGCTACATAATTGATATCAACACTAAAAAAAATTTCCTTACAGAAAATACCTTGTCCAGATGGCTCCACTGGTTCAAGGAACACTTACAGAAGAAATAATGCTAGCTTTTTTTTTTTTTTAATCTCCCAAGAAACAAAGGAGGATGAATTACCTCCCAGGCTACACTCTAAGGTACATCACTATAGTGCAGCTAGATAAGAGAATTGCAAGAAGTCTCTAGATCAGGGTTATTCATGGACACAGATGTAAAAATCCTTAACAGGGAGGGATGCATATCTAGCTCAGTTGTCAGAGTATTAACCTAACTCAGATGAGGCCTCAGCACTGCCTAAACCAGGAATGATGGTGCACACCTATAATCTCAGCATTTGGGAGGTGGAGGCAAGAGAATCAGAAGTTCATAGTCACTCTTAGCTACAAAGTGAACTACAAGTTAGCTGGGATGCATAAGACCTTGCCTTAAAAAAAAAAAAGTCCTTAAAAAAAAAAAAAAACGAAACAGGTCAAATCCTACAATGTCCATAAAATTTCACAACAGGTAGCATTAACCCGGGGTGTCATCTAGGAGAGCTGGAAAGAACTTTGGAGAAGGTGATTTCTGAGAGGAACCTCGACAGGTGGTGATTAGGAAAAGAGAAAACAGCAAGAAAGACTATGAGTGAGTCCAAGAAGGTACAAACTCTCTGGGAACAGGTGCTGTGTTGGCACTAACTAGGGTGGTTCCTAGGCTTCCAAAGAAGAGTCCCAGACACAGGCCTGGGGCCTAGGACCACTATGTGCTGTGACACCATCCCCAGCCAACACTGACCTGCTATGGAATGATCCTTTTGTACACTGTGAAGATTTGTCACTCAGATTGGTTTAATAAAAAGCTGACTGGCTGGTAGCTAGACAGGAAGTATAGGTGGGACAGCCAGACACAGAAAACTTTGGGAAGAAGAATGGCAGAGTCAGAGGGGTCGCCAGCCAGATGAAGAGGAAGCAAGACATGCCGGAGAGGTAAATGCCATGAGCCTCAGGGCAGCACATAGATTAATAGAAATGGGTTATTTTAAGTTGTAAGAGCTAGTTAGTAATAAGCCTGAGCCATCAGCTGAGTGTTTATAATTAGTATTCAGTCCCTGTGTCAGTTAATTGGGAACTGGAGGGCAGAAAAAAGTCCCTTCCCTCTACATTCCAAAGTCAGGCACAGCACCAAGCTGCAGCCATCTTGGGACTGACGAGGACCAAATTGGAGTCCTTGAGGGAAGGCTCATCAATACTTATTGCCAAGGTTTCTAACAGTCCTTTCCAGTCCTTCTCATCAACTTCCTGTCTCCTATGAGGTGCCACCCAGGCCTTCTCATAGACTTTTTTGGTTTTTTTGCCTCCATGGAGAAGAGGCAGTTTCCATTGCTTATCCACAGGAACATGGATGAATTCAGTGAGTACAAGCTTACCTCTACCAGAGTTCTGTTGCTGCACCTGAGTGTGAACCCTAGCCCTTAGCCCCAAGGTCTGAGAAGGGAGTCCTAGAAACCAAACCAAGGTGGAAAACCAGGTACTGTCTGTTACTCCACAGAGCAGGTCTAGGAGGGCGGAGGCTAAGGGAGAAAGTAAATGTTCCTGAATAGCGAAGGACAGAGAGGTAAAGCGGTCTCACTGTAAGGGGTGCTATGGGGGGGTGAACTACAAAACAGCAATATCCTTGACCCTAGCAGGAGCTGATAATCAGTCGCGGGCCCGAGATAATGACCACTGAATAGCAGCCCGGCCTCATTTGCTCTTTGCTCCTGCCTTGGTCTCCATCTTCAGCCCTGGCTTGAGACAGCCCTATGCAGAGATACTGGGGAAATTAACTGATCAGACATGCTAGAAAGGGAACAGACAAGCTGATGAGAAACTGTCAGGAGCAAAGGAAGCAAAGTACCGATGGCCATGGCAGCTGCAACTCTGGATGACAATGCTAACAGCAACAGGATAGCAGGGAGCGTATACTCATGGGGATGAACGCAACCTGATAAGGTGTGCTGGAACCCTGAGCTGAGGCACCTGGCATGCCACCAGCAGGAACTGACTAGAGCCTGTGGGGAGGCAGCAGCTGTCATGAGGCTGCTTGGCTCCCGGTAATGGATGGCATCCGTGTGAGAGGCAGTGGGCCAGGTGTTGGAGGGGTCACAGGGGAAGGAAGGAGACTGCATGTGTGGGAGGGAATGAGACACAACATCAGCAGGAACTGGAGCCTGTCATGCTTTTTAAAGTCTCAGGCTATAAGGCTTGGCTAGTATACATGGGGCTCTGGGTTCCATCTCTACCCCAGACCACAGGAGGAGGAGGAGGAAGAGGAGGAAGAGAGGGAGGAGGTGGCGGTGGCATCAGGCTAGGTCTTTAGCCTCATTATGAGCACAATGGTTTACTTTGAGGAGAGCTGTCAAGAATGTCTTTCTAGAAAGGAAACTCTGGAAGCTGCCTCCTGCTAGTTAACCAGTTATGGCCCAGACATGCAGCAGGCATTTCTACACAGATGACAAGCACTGTGTCAAGCCTTGATGGTGAGAGAAGGGCAGGCCCAGCAGCAGGTCACATGGACACCCACTGATGGCTCCAGGTGCAGCTGGCTGTCTTAACTGAGAGTGCACAGCTTCCTTAGAGGGCATGTGAGAAACTGATGCAGAAGCTGTCTTCAAGAGTAAGGCTGGGGACAAAGCAGAGGGGAGGCATTTGCCACTAGATGTTTTCGTGTGCCAACTGACTTAATTTCCACCTAAGGCTTGAAGAGTCACGGAGGTTCAGTTCTGCTTTAATGACTCTAGCCATAGGCTGTCTCAGCAAGCATCAGTTAGTAGACATTTACTCCCAACAAGCTTAGTGTAAAGCTCCTGTAGTATCACTTGACACCATGTGTCATTCTACGCCAACTCCAGTTCTTGTGAATATTCTTGAGGAAAGGCTCCAAACTTGGCTGTGGGGAGTCAGGTGGGCCAACAGCAGAAGCTGCTCCCAGCACTGGGCACTGAGGGAGGGACTGGTGCATGCCAGGGAATTGTCAACTCTGTTGGAACTGGAGCCTGGCCACACAGCCTGAGCAAGGGAAGCTGGAGAACCACACCTTTCTTTAGAAAGGAAACCTACGCTTCCACCCAGGTCTATTTTAGCACTGAGCCCACGGCAAGAACACCAAGTATTATAAATAGCAAAACCAAGGTTCCAATTTGACTGGTTTTCTCTGATGTCAGGAAAGTGGTCGCTGGTTAGGTTAGCTGTAAAGCAGAAAGGGGTCTGTAGAAAGCCACAGTAGGAAGCCAGCCTCATTGGGTTAGACAGCCACACTTGAATTTCCCACTACCACGCCTGAGTCACCAATGCCTGTGGCTTCAGTCTGCAGAAAAACACCTGAGAAATTGTAATGAGGCTGAAGAAGAGCATTGTAGGACTTACCTCAGAGGCCATAAAGGAAATTCCTTCCCCAAGTGCCCTCCCTCCCTCCCTCTGCATCAGTAAAGAGGAAGGATGCACACAGCGTAAGTAGAGCTGTGTCACAGATATCAAAGACGGCGAGGAGCATGCCTACCTTTGTTATGAGACATGGCGTACAGGAGGCAGAGCACAAAGAGGGCGTGGTAATCGTCATCAGGGCTGTCCAGGGCATGGTAGACCATTTCCAGGAAGGGTCTGGAAAAGAGGAGAGGTCTGTAATCCTCTGGCACAGTGCCTATTTTCCTCTCACCTGACAGCATCAGCTGTCTTTGCTTCTCACAGGCCTGGGCTCTAAGGCCACTAGTTTGTGGTGAACGTAGTATGTGCCTGGTCCAGAATCAGGTACTGGGAACACATCCATATGAATGAGAGCTGGGCTCTGACTTTGGAAAGATGTCATTTAGAGGGGAAAGTGACCAAGGAACAGACCACTTAGTCACTCACTGGGTGTCTCAGATTCTGGAGATGATAGGTACAAAGTCCCTGCTCTTCTGCACTCCTCTGCCAGCTGGCAGAGACAGCACAGGTGCACATCATCACAGGATGATATAATGGACCGACACTACCTGGCAAGGCATAGACAGCACATGAGTGAGTTTAAAGGTACAGCTATGGAGTCAGACTGACCAGGTTCAAATGCTGATCTGGCTTCTTCCTATTACAAACCCTCTGCTGAGTTCCTTAACTGTACAGAAGCATTACAGCCCAGAAGGCTGACTGGAGGGCCTCGGCATAGGGTCATGCACTGTATTTGATTATTATATGTAATATTGCAAGGATACTTCTCCATGATTTCATTTTGGCAGTGTTCTAGCTCAGTAATTTCTTAGGCCAATATTCCTTGACTAGAGGAGTTGATGGTGACATCTCTCACCAATCTCCACTGTGCTCTGTGGGTAAGATATAAAGAGTTGCCATAACCTGGGGAATACACATCCCAAGTGCTGTCCTTCCCAGGGTGGGGCCTAGCCTGGCAAGACTCTTCAGTAACAGACAACAGAATAAGCACAGGGCAGGCCTGGGGGCAGGATACTCTGACCCCATCTGAGGCTGTCCCACTGCCAGGCTGAGGTCAAGAAAGCCAAGTACTCCAGAGAGTGAACAAGGATGTATTTAACACACAGAAGTCACATGGGTATTGGCAATGGACTATTTTGAGGGTTGAAAATAGGACTGTTCAAAGGAGACCATTTGCTGCAGTCTTCCATACAATCTTGAATATCTTAGGCCTTTGAGGGGGGCAGTCTGGAGATGGAGTGGAAGACGTTGAGCATGCCGGGCAAGTGCTCTATTACTGAGTTACACTCCTAGCTCCTCATTTAAGTCCTCAAATCCTCACGTGTCAACACAAAATATTAAGCTGAAAAATGAAAATAAAGTAGTGAAAATGTATTTGTCATGTTTCAAATAAACATGGGACACACAAAAATTAAAAGGAAAAAACCTCAATGTGTACACTGACATTCAGTCTCTATTTTCTAGTGCCCAGGATGGGGCTCCTCCATTCAGACCTGTCCACAGCTTTGTGTGTAGATTTGGGTCTTGTGAGTTTTTTTTTTTTTAGCAACAACTCTGCCAAATGTGAGAGCAGCATAAATTGTAAAACCTTCTTGTAAAGCAGTTCTCACAATTTGGATCATATTTGCACTGGGAATCATGTGACTAACCAAGCACAGGAACAGAGGGAGGGCTTGCCGTGCGTGCTGCTTTTACATATTGATATGGAGTAGTGTGAAGAAGCTACTAAGCACGTGTTTACTAAGGACAATGATGTGATAAAGATGCTGGGATTTGATATGAAACAGCAAAAGGAGAAATAAAAAATGACAGGCATGAGCTGGGGAAGGGGGACAAAATGCCCAGAAAAGTGGCTCTGAAGAAGTCTGTAAGAAATAATCAAAATAGGAACATCTGGGATCACTGACTTTTACTTCTTCTTTGTACTTCTGAAGACTTTTCACATTTTTCAGGATGTGCATAATTTATATACCTTTTAAAAGTTGCTGAGGTGTGCCTGTGGTGCACACCTTTAATCCCAGCACTCAGGAAGCAGAGGCAGGGGGAGGAGCTCTGTGGATTTCAGGCCAGCCAGGGTGAGCTACTTACTAAGACTGTCTCAAAACAAAACAATGGCTTTTGTGGGGTTTTTTTTTTGTGGGGGTGGGGTGGGGTGGGGGTGGGGGTGGGGGGAGGTATCTAACTTGATCCTGAGTGCAGGCAGGACACTATACAAAGAAAATCACAGTAGCTCCAGTTCTCACAGTAGCAGAAAAGATGTCAAGATTCAACTGATGCTTTGGGGAACAAATGGCCCTCTTCCTCCTCACTTGCTCCCAGCCTCAGTGCTGGGAGATGGGATGCCGCTTCAGGCCTGTAGGCAGCCCACGCCCAACCCGAGTCAAGTTCTGCTAATTGGAAAGCCATGCAGTCAGAGTTACCAGTTAGTCATCTGAGGTTAAAAAGAACCCGATCAACTGTCCCCTAAGATGCAGGGAAAAAGGAGTCATCGAGTCCAATAATCACACAGAACGTCTTGGTTTCCTTCTCACTTTCACAAAGCTACAGTGTTACTCTTTCAGGATCATGAATCCATGCACTGGATCCTAAAACCTGCACATCACCACGGTGGCGTCACAGGAAAAGGAGCAGCAGCTAATGTTCTGTAAGCACACAGATCTCATCTGCTTAAGCATCCTCTACTGTTTGTCATTTGTGGTTGTTCCAGTTATTCACAGTCTAACTAATGCTGGGCCACGCTTCTAACCTGTCTCTTCTATGCGTAGAATGATTTCTTCATTTTCAGAGCTCAGGGGTTACATATTGTTAAGCAAAATCGTAAAAGGCTTCCTTTACAGGTTACAACCGACAACCATGTGTTAGCCAATGATTTTTAGTTAACAAAATCAAAAAACCGTTCTCTTGTACATCTGCTACAAGTTAATCCTCTCTGTTAAGACAACCAAACACCATCCAAACAAAGAAGAAAATAAGAACTAGTAATGTACATGGCTTCGCCAGCAGCAGGATACTGGCCTCCTTGATGGAGGGCCTGGCCTCCATCCTCAGCACCACCCACACACCCACTAACCAATAAGACATGGAGAAAAAAACTGAAAATAAGTATACTTCAGTGCTTTCAACTGGGTTAACAAATGGGGTGTGTGTGTGGAGGGAGTACATTCCTGGCCACACCTTGAGGCTTCAAGAAGTCAGTGTGTTGTAGGGAGACCAAAAACCCACATCAGTGTACCTGCACTAACACTAACACACTAACCTGCTGCTGAGGCCTGTGTGGTGTGGCTGCCTAACAGGACAGGAAACAACCCTAACATGAAGATGCCCTCTAGCTGCTCCCTGCAGACTGTGGGAACAATCCTGTGCTGTAGTTGATGAGCCTCAGCAAAACTGTAGGAAATAAGCAGGGTAAGGTTCAAGATCAGCTCCCCAAGCCAGCGAGTGTGAGTGTCAGGCGGGCCAGGACAGGCGGCAGCAGTAGATCACGTTATGTGCCAAAGGCCCTACAGACGTAAGCAAGCACAGCAATCAAGGACAGAGATGGGACTTCGTGCCCACTGGCTCTCAAGAGGGTCCTCCTGGGAATGGTCTCCATTCGTTAGACCCAGCCGAGTTGCCAAGTGTTCCATGGTGGTGGTGTCCCGTCCTGGCCACCTTTCCAAAGGATAAGGGTATGAGCACATGTCAAGGGTCAGTTCTTTTCTCATGCACCTCAAGAGCTCATGCCTCTGGGTGGCCAGAGGCTGAAGCAGAGGGAGCAAAGGCGAACAGGGCAGCCATTTGGTGCGCAGGGTCGCTATGACCGGTTGGTCACCTTTCCCAAGGCCGAGTGGCTGTCTGTAGCTCCCAGCAGTGCCCTGCTGCCTACCTGCTCCACTGTGCGCTCTCTGAGTCTGTAGCTCCCAGCAGTGCCCTGCTGCCTACCTGCTCCACTGTGCGCTCTCTGAGCCTGTGGCAGCGCTCTTCTCCTCGTCCGTGGTGTTCTGCTCCCTCACTGAGGCCCCAGCAGTGGCCAGCTCTGAGAGCTTGCTGCGCTCCATAATCACCATCTCAATCTCTGGAAGCAAACATGGAGACAGGTGAGCTCAGCTGGCATCAATAACCGAGACTCAGAAGCCTCCTCAAGGTCTAGACCACGCACGTGTAAAGCACCCCAGACATGCCAAGCAAGTCTCAACAGTGGGAGTGACACCAGCAACATGTGGGCAGAATCCGTCTAGGCCAGGCCCCTCTGTCCACCCCTCTGAGAAACACCAAGACACCAGCCCTGACTTGGACAAACACACAAGGAAGTCATTTGTTTTATTTCCTGATTTAAAGATACTTGACTCTGATTGTTACCACATTTCTTTTTCAAAGGGTTGGGGGGCAGCTCAGAAGCTATAACGTGTGGCTAATTAATTCACTGGAGTGCTCTGAAGCTCTTTACACTTTAGAAACAGCTCTCACAGGACAGAGGCCATGTTTCCCCTTTCCATTAACAACCTCTGGAAGGTAGAGGCAAGTTAGGAACCTCATTTTGTTTTTTCCAACTCTGGAACAGCAATTTACAGCAACCAACTTAAAGTGCCATATATGTTTTTATTTTCCCAAACATTAAGAACCACTGAGCAGAAAGACCTGGAAGTCAAGAGCGATGCTATGCTTCCTGGGGTTCCTTCCCATCAGGAGTCCTTGTCGTGTGGTGAGGACCCCTGGGCTGGAGTCCTTCCCCTGTGCTCTCCACGGGCACATACAGATCTCTCAGCTGGCTTCACTTCCTCTCTTGTCCTCATTTGTTCGCCACACAGACCCACGTGACAGTAAGTGGAAATAAGCTCATGTCCCTCCTTTGTTCCAAACTCCCAACGCCTTCTCCTCACACTCAGGATGAAATCCAAACGGTGCAGACCACGGCCTGACGCCTCCTACGCCTGGCCCTATCCGCCTCTGATCTCACCCCCTGGCCTTCTCTGCCTTGCTGGCTCCCACCCTGGCCGTGTTGGCTTATTGATGGCTGGCCCTCAAATGGCTCACTTTCTCAGACATGGCTGTTACTCAGTTCCATCTGCCAAAAAGTGCTCAGCTTGAATGTCCCCCCCTGGAGATGCCATGGTCACTCTCCTCACCTGTTCTTTTTTCCTTAGCTCTTTTGAAGTGCGTACCGGCTAAACTGTGTACGTGGTTAGATCTCACTCCCTTCCCCAGCGTCCTTTTTGTTCTGGGATCTTATTAGCTCCAGCCACTGTGCTTAGGCTCTGCTGGGCCATAAGAGTTTTTCATTCTTTCCTCACTTTTGATGAACTTGGCAGTGTGTGGGGTCATGGTCAGAAATTTTTTTGAATCCCAGGATGGGAGTTTAACTGATTTTTTTTCCCCCAACCATTAGGCTGGGACTATGGGTTTTGAAGAGGAAGACCACAAATGGGAAGCATCCTTTTTGTGACATCTGAGCCTGCACACACACACACACACACACACACACACACACACACATACACACACACACACACACACCGGCAACATGATCTTAAGACATAGTTCAGTCCTGTATTGGCCATGCTAGTATCAGGCTTCTTTGTGGTCAAATTATTCTCCTCCTTCTATACTGTTCTGTGGAAGAAGTCCCCCATAAAGTACTGTTGTTGCTGTTACTGTTAGCAGTGCAGGGGCTCATGTCCGAGGTCCTGGGCACACTAGCAAAGACCTTAGACAAGTGGTTCTCAACCTGTGGGTCGCAACCCTTTGTGAGGTAAATGGTTTTTTCACAGGGGTCACCTAAGGCCATAGGAAAACACAGATTTACATTATGATTCATAATTATAGCAAAATCATAGTTATAAAGTAGCAGTGAAAATAACTGTATGGTTAGGGGGTCACCACAACATGAGGAACTCTATTAAAGGGTAGCAGTATTAGGAAGGTTGAGAACCACTGCCTTAGATACTGAGCCACACCCCTCAACCTTATTTGCATAAATGATTTGGAATTCTTCACAGCAAATATGTCTTCCCTGCCCCTCACCTTTTTTCTGTTTCAGTCTACAGCCTCTCCAACCATCTGCACTGATATTCCCTATTGTTTTACTTGCTTACTCTTGGCCATCCTCCACTAGGCCATGAGCTTCGTAAGCATAGCTAGCTCCCCAGCACAGACTGTACCTCTTGAATATGTGAACAGATCACTGCCTAGGTCCAGCACAACAGGGGAAGTTTGGTGCAGGCAGGACTAGCTACAGGTTGTAGCAGTTGTGGCATGGGTTGGGGTGGTCCAGAGCCTGACAGTCTATAGCTGATGTTCATAAAGTTCTCTTATGGGGAGATGTCTGACCACACCTCCCCCACATACACACTTTCTGGGCTCTCTTAGCATGATCAACTTGTAGCCAGCCCCTGGGATGGAGGCAATCCCACACATGTTCCCTTGGGACCAGGGCCTCTGGAGGCTCACTCTGGGGGAGCCTCCTACTCTCCCCACATAATCTGAAGCCAGATGCTAGATGAGAGTCTCCCACAAGGTGGTCCCCATCCCACAGGTAGAGACCAATGAAGTAACTTTCGGGGGTATGTGGGCAAGCACTCTCTCTGGTTGTTTTGTATGTGTCTCACAGGCACTGGGAGATAAACCCAGCCACATGAAAAGCTTATTCTTTTGTGCAGTGAGGCTAAGGTTAAGAAACAAACAAGTGACTCAGGTCACAGAAAGCTGCTCAACGGACAACAGAACAGACAGTACTCAGTCATGGCTGAACAGGAGACGGCACCAACCCTGTATTAGGTGCCATTTTTTCCTTTCCTTGTTGCTCTACCAGTTCCCTGCAATACCCAGCTTCTTCCTAGTCATCATCTTAGGTTTCCCCAGAGTGAGGTGCAAGATGATTTGCTAGGTAGATCTTTTTCTTACCCTTAAGTATCTATTTTGTTTGCTTTATACTGTATATAACTTAACATAGTAATGTGAATATGTATGATTTATAATAAATGTGTTTGTTCTCGGGAGGTGCGGGCTTCTATTTTGTTTGTATCTGTTTGTGTTTACTGATAAAGAATGCCACCACAACATTTAAAGTCGGCCATGCTTCCCTTGGCTCTGGTCTATAACCTCTGCCTGGTGATCCCAGGCCCAACTTGCATATGTTATGAGCTCACTTCCCCTGGCAGAGCTCCACCCTGCTTGGCTGACATGGTGGGAACATTGCTCCCAGGACTCCCCAAGGTCACAGAGCCAAGTTCCAGTGCAGAGTATGAAGGACAAGCCAGCATATCACATTAGTCCCCTTTCCAGACTTTTCATGTCACTGGACACCATCAGGATTCTAGAGCAAAAGAAGAGTTCAAGACAGACTAGTTCACTGCTTGTCAGACAATTTTCCAAGTGACTCAATAACTTTTTGCTTTTTGGAATGCTGGGGATAGAACCCAGGGTCTTGTGAATGTTAGGCAAGTACTCTGGCACTGAGCCACATCTTTAGCCATCAAGATGAATCCGAAGGGACTTTCCCAGGGCATGCCAACATAGTGGATAGGTGAGCACCGGACTGCTCCAGGTAAAAGTGGGTAAATACCAACTGTCTACTCATGTGGTCACTCAGGTACTGTAGAGGCCCCTTCCTGGAATTCTAGCACTTCAAAAACAAAACAAAACTCCTGAAATCTGCTTGCTTGTTCCAAATCTGGCCACCAAATCTGAGAAAAGAGCAACCCAGAAGCATAAGAGTTCTCTGTACAGCTAGAACATGCGTAGAAGCCAGCACAGGTCCCAGCTCCCCGCAGAGAAATGTGGCAGCAGAAGCACCTTAAATCCTGGCTGTGCCAGCTGTCACCAGCCATTCATGCCACCCTCTTGAGTTCTCCCTGATTTGGGACCACCATGGAACAGACGTTCTGACCAGGTTAATAACCCCAGATGACTGTAAAGCAGCTCTTCCTCTTCTTGCAATCAATTTTATCCAGAAAACTTTTACAGGGAGTGCTCTCACCTGAGCTCCACCAGTTCCCTGTCCCCTATGAAATGGGAACAGAAGTGGCTTTTGGGGGGAGGGTCTCCTCAGTTTGTCACAGCTCTGAAATGGACTTCCCAGCCATCTTTAAGAGGATACTAAAGAGGCTGTGATCTTTCCTGTGAAGCCCTCTGATGCCATACCAGAATGCCTCCAGTGGTCCTGAGCTGCTTCCAGTCCCACCCCGCTCTGTCCATGCTGATGCTGGACTTATTCTAGGGCAGCCAAATTCCACCAATAGGCCATGCAATATGCTCATGTGACTCAGGAGCTACCAATGGCCACAGATTATGCTAACGGTAACAAAGAGCTCCATTGAACCTCAGTTATACTTTGAGACATCCCCAGGCCCACCAGCCAGGCTTCTGTTTAAATGAGATTGGCTTATGTTGAAGTAATAGCTTTTTTTAAAAAAAATTAAATTGTGTGTGTGTGTGTGTGTGTGTGTGCGCGCGCATGGTGGGGGTAAGTGTGTGTCTATGAGCATGAGTAGAACCAGGAAGAAGATGTTGGGTATCATGCTTTGTCACTTTCCACCTCATTTCTTTAGGAAATAGTCTCATGCCCTATTGATCCCCCTGCCTTGCCCTGCACAGCAATGGAGTTACAGTCATTCGCAAAAGTACACGTGGCCTTCTGCTTGACTACTGGGTATGTGAATTCATGTCCTCAGGCTTGCTCAACAAGCACCTGTACCTACTGAACCATCTTCCCAGCCCTAATGAGCTCATTTTAAAGATGTGCCATCATTTAACTTGATAAGGTCCTTGGAGCCTGGAAGATTTTATTAGGTACTGAGACTATACAGGACTTCGCGGGGGGTGGGATGGTGGTGGTGGTGGTGATAACTGTGTCCCTATAGTTTCAGGCACTGGAATCCTTGGTCTCTAGTCTGTGGCATGTTTGGACAGGGTTAGGCAGTGTTGCTTTACTAGAGGAAGCAGGTCACTGGGATGAAACTCACTTTGTAGACCAAGCTGGCTTTGAACTTATAAGAGATCTGCCTTCCTCTGCCTCCCAGTTTAAAAAACCGGCTGCCATTTCTAGTTCATTCTCTCCACTTGCTGCTTGGGGCTCAA